GTAGATTAGACTAAGGTGTATTTATTTACATTTTTGAATTTGTTCCTGCTTGATGCCTAAGCCAATTTAGCATGTTACTAAATTGAAAAATAAAGAATAATTATTTTACCGGTAAACTTTTTATCTGTTTTCAGGACAGCTGGTTTGGTGTGTTACACCACATTGCTGGTGAGCATGAATGGATTGATGGTGAATGCAAGCATGGTCCACTAGTTGCCAATGAAGAAGGGAAGACATAAGAACTCAAAGGCATTCGAAGCCATGAGAAACGTTGTCCTTGACCAGAGAGTTTGCATCATTATGTTACATTCAGGTATGCAGTGAACTAGTATACAGTCTATACTTAAGCCCCAGGTTCACATATGACTGATACATGCCTGCAACACATACCTGCAGTGGCAAGGCAAATGTGAACACTTGTCACACAGGTCGTCATAATTTTCCTTATTTTTCATATGTGAACATTGTCTGATGCACCGGCGGTATGCCTCATGCAAAGTTGGCCAAATTTTGGAGGAAAATTATCATCTTACAATCTGTCACATGTGCGGTGGTGGTGAAATATTGGTGGCGGTACAGCTTACCTGTGAAAATCACAGCATCTGTGTCACAGGCATACATACCTCATGCATATGTGAACTACTCTCTCTTGGTTGCTGCATTGTAAAAAACGATGGTGTTTGAAAGTCATTATATTTATGGTGTCTGAAAGTCATTATATTCATTTATTTTCTCCTCTATATGTAGACACACAAGCAAACTTGAAAATTTTAATTCAATGTTGTTGAAATATGTTCCCAAAATTGGATTCCAGTAAGAATTATGATTACACTGCATTGTGAATAGTTTTGTAAACAATGTTACTTCAAATGTTAATGTGCATGACTACCATATTTTCTTGATCGACCACAACACACATGTGTTTAGGAAAGCAGCAGTAACTGCTAAAGGTAAACAAAAATATAACAAAGTCTACAGCAAAAGATCAAAGAATTGGAGGATTGTAACGTTCAAGGAATCTAAGACCTATGATTTTTGGCCCACTCTTGCTGCCAGAATTATGCAGAAAAGAATTGATGATGAGGAAAGCACAAAACGTAAAGTTGTAATTCCCAAAGAGCATCCAAAGAATATATCAGCATCAATCGCAATGCAGGCAATATCGAAAACAGCTGACCTTGTGCAGCAGTTGCTGTCCCGATTTTCATCTGGAAGTTCTGGTGTTTCCCAACTAGATGAGGATGAACAAAGCAAACAAGTATAATAGTATGGATTTATATAATAGTATGGAGCAGCAGTGTAATTACTTCTTTTAGTATTAATTTTGTAGTATAATCAGTTCTAGTTAGGGATGGATTCACTGGGGGTCCAGGGGGGTGCCCACATACTGTATCACCCTAGCCTTGGCAAAGGGGGGTGCCAATTTTTCTCTCAAATCCATTTTTGGAATTCAGAAAGGCAATAACCTATCACCCTTACCATAGCTACCTTGAATTCCTTTGTTTCACGAGGGACGATTAATGATTAATTTACCTCATTGCTAAAACATGAGGGACGATTGGAAACTAATCATCCCACTGGACGATTAGTTACTAATCGTCCACCATCTTTATGCATAACCTCTTATATTGATGTTCAATTAAATATTTAACAGAAATGAAAAATCAACCGTGATTACACCCAGAACAATGACCAAGGGCTGGTGAACACCCCCCCCCCCCCAACAGATCTTGCTAGATCCATCCCTGGCTAAAGCTCAGTCAATTGCATGTTAAAGTGTCAATTATGCTCTCTTGAAGCCCATATACAATCCATCATCTGCTGGATAAACATGGCAAATCACTAAAACGACACAACGATGGGCAAACTTTTCTATTTCCTCTACCCAATTTCTTGTATCTCCAGAGGATGTATTGGCGGTAGGCTGCTTTCCTGAAACTGTTTGTTGAATAGTCAGACCTGCCCCTAATAGCCATGACCAAAATATCTCTATCAAGGCAAGCGCTCGGGAATGTCATAAATGATGTTGTGCACCTGATTTTCCCAGAACGATTGTTTTCTTCCTCTGTTGGCATGGGCCGGCATATTCCACATACACACCAAGCTGGTTTTGTTGAAGGCTGTACTGGTGGGGGTTCCCCAAATTGCACCAGGTTCTTGGCATAGTCTAAGCTTCCTTTACCATTGGATAATATTTCTAGTAGAATTTTATCCTCCTCTCCACTCAAAGTAGCAATAAATCCCTGAACATTTCACTTGTGAGAAATTGTTTGAACACATAACATTTATAGAAACATCATCTGATCTCTGTCAATAGTACAAGATATTGAAATTGACCAATGATAATTTGAAGTGTATTTTAGTCCACTGGTCCATTTTATTAGTTCATACCAATTGAATTTAAAGGGATTCCAAAGACTTTTTCAAAGGATTTATTTTGGGCACATATTTGGTCCCCATATTTTGAAGGATTATAATATGGGACCTTTATATCATTTGAATATACATGTACCATCTCAAAGGTATTAATTTTCTATTATTATATTAACTCATTTTCCTCTTTAATAATGATTTAAATATATGTCTACCATACGAATATGAACTCTGAATTATTTCAAATGTGATGTAAATAGTAACAGGTTATATTATTGGCAATAATACAAGAACTTACTTGTATGCTTGCCACTTTAATACTATAAAACAAATACCCTTACCTCAATTTGTTGTTTGGCTTCTTCGACGGCTGCTGCCAGTGTTTCTATCTGCCATGTCTTGGTCGGTGGTTTGTTTATTCTTGCAAGCAGATTTTTTAGTTCTGCAAATGCACTTCCCAGTGCATTGAAGCGATTCATCATGACAAGGACAGCCTTGTTTTTTCCTTCCGCTTTTCTTGCTACAAGTATTCTTGCAAGAACAAAACTAAACAAATGAAAACTATTTTCGTTAACATGTTCCCTCCAATCTTGCGTGTATAGAAATATAAAAAATCAAACAATGCCAGAGCTAGCTAGAATGAATCACTCACTTGAGTTTGAGTATCAACTGTTGGCAGGGTGAGTTGGCTTTCTGCACTTTCGACTGGAATGTGTTGTTTGTCATCAGGTTGTTGAACTGGCGATCCGTAACAGTTTAGATCGTCTTCTTCTTCGTATCGCGAAACGGTCAAGTCTGGATCTGACTCGGAGTCCGACATTTTTCGTGCGGTAATATTAGTATTAATTAATTAAATGCTTTCAGAGAGATTGGAATTTACCAGACGTAAACACAAGCGCGCAAAGCATTACCGTGGTACTCGTTCTTTAAAGAGGAGGATAAGTCCCTTCTGCGCATGTGCCCGGCATTTGTTTACAGGGGACTCCACCGGAAATGAACCTCTCGTTTCCAGTCCTATATAATTGGCCATATACACGCACGATGTTTATATTCCACATGAGGTGATCAGGAGTGAATGGAAAATATTTATATAGAATTCGAAAAGGTTTCAACAAATTTGCAACTTTTATGAAACCAAATCCACCTACTAGTAAATTATTGAAACATATAAAACAACAAGAGAACGCGGAAAGAATATTACGCCAACAAGGCTGCCCTAATAGTGCGTTTGTGCGATATTCAGTGCAGCACGCTGTGATCAAATCGACATGTGCTGTTGTCTGCTGCGATGTCTTTTATATTCAGGTAAATGTTTTGTTTATACTTGGGTTTTAACTGTCGTTAAATAGTGATTTTGGTCAGAAATTCTATGCTGGGATTCTATTACATTGGATTATGCTGACTATGTATTTAATATTTATTTATCAGATCTGATCGAATATTCCTCCCAGGCAAATAAAGAGATTTGGAACCATAACTACAATTTACTGTTAATATTTTTATTGATGCGCTCTTATTCAAGACTGCTTCATAACTTTATTTTTATTTCTACATTTATTTTACTATATACAATTGTTTGTAATCTATAATCAGATATCTGAATATAAATCTTTATAACATTGTATGTTATTTCACATAGCATGATTGTTGTATAAAATTATCGAACTTTCAAGCTAGATAATATATCTTATTGGATTCTTCTGAGCCCAATATGGCAAAATATTAAGTTGAGACTTCAATATTGGGCGAGACGGAAGGTTGAGCCTAATATTGAAGTTGAGACTTAATATTTTGCTATATTGGGCGAAGATGAATCCAATAAGAGTTTTATTATATCGAACAAAACAACTCTATAACAGAAAATTGTCAATAAGCGATAAATACAGCGAGAATACAGCGACAACATTAGCCTTTTTTACTTAAATAACTACACATAAAGTTAATAAACTTGTTTTTACAAATATGTCTGCATAAATAAACTCAATTCCATGTATGTTTAATGGACATTTGACCTAATTTTGACGAAAAAAAATATATTACTAACCTCGAGGCTGTTGCAAACAAATGAATTTTGTGAAGACGAGTTTTCCCGCTCTTTTATAATTTTGAACAAAATTGGTAGAAAAAACTATATTAATATCCCAAATTCTTTTCATTAGTCTGCCATATCACTTGTCATATGTTCGAAATTGACAAAACTTCTGAAAAGGGTTGAAAAAAGCATGAAAATAGCCACGATTCACAACTGTCCAGTAGGTTCCTGTCCAATATTGGATCGACATGTGACCTTCTCAACGATTACTGATTGGTTAAGTGCGCATGAGTGTATAATAAATTTTTGTATATGCATGCAAAGTTTTATTTTAGTATTGGAAAACTTTCATACTGTATAGGCTGAAACATAGTAGCATGAGGTATAGTCATTATCATGACAGTTGAGTTGCCTTGGACCTCTTTACGATTTTGTGATATACATCCACAGTATATTAAGTTTATACACCTCAGGAAGTAATAAAGATGACAACTGTATAATCTTTATAGTTACTATATTATTTTTATTGAAAGCAATGCATGGTAATATCTTTTAGCATTCTGGAGGTGACAATGAGCTTCAATATCACAAGATTTGTCTTGTTGTGATATATTGGAATTTGTATTGGAATATGTCTTGAGATCTGACAACTCAGAACTGCCATTAATTAAATTATTAACACTAGCTGACATTGTACATTATATTATTTTATACCATGATATTCTAGTAAGAAGTGTATCAAGCATACAATAGTGAAATCAAATGTTGACTAGGCAACAACCCTTCTATTATTCCATCTGCCATAAATCCCCTATTTCCCCCCCTCTAAAATAGATGTAAGTCCCCACAGCCCCACCCACCTTTCTAAAACAGAAATGTATTACACCCCCATATCAATAGCTACAGGATTTATGGTAAGGCACAGAAGCTATGACATTGTCATGTAGCATCCTGTTTGTATGCTGCATGCCAGATGTTTTGCATGTTTATGCTGTTATTTAAAACAAGAACATCTCGATAATGCCTGGCAATTATTGTTTCAGAACATTTGTGCCAAAACATTTTGTTCGAATTACAGTGTTCTTGATGGGGGTTCTTGATAGAGTTCAGTCTTGTCCTCTTAACACGCCTGGCATTTTTGCACGCGAAATTGCACATTAAAATGTGTCAATTTTTTTCGTTGCCGCGCGCCAATTTTGGGAGCTTGGTAGCGAATTTGATAATTGAAAAATTCCTCAAATTCCGCGAGCGCGTGCTTGTGCGCGTTTTCCTTGAGGGTTATTTAAGGTAAACAGAGAAACAGAGCGTGTCTCGGGGATCAAAATGATATCAAGATTACCATGGTTACGCGGAATGTTTTGCTGCAGGAGCGCTTGTTGTTCGGGGCATTTGAGGGAAATGGCGACTTTCGCATCATGTTGTCAAAATGCAACAACTTCGGCTTGTATAGGATTCTTTCTACAGTGTTATTTTCGTTTTATTTTTGAATCCAGTACAAGTCAAGATACCTATTAAAAATCGTATGTTTTTTGTTTTTGACAAAATGTGCTAGAAAAGATAATATTATACCATTTACAAAGGCATGCACGCAATAAAATATTCGATGTTGGAAAGTATATGCGAAAGACACAGTTAGGCTGTTGGCAGTTGAAGAGGAGAACAAAAATGCAATATATACAGCTCAGGAGCTTAAGCGATTAGATTCCAAGGTAAGAAAGGTTTTACATATCTCTTGTATTTTTTTGTAATCGAGTTTCTGATTTATCATGGTCTTTTATTCAATATATATCTTCATATTATGAACTGAGCTCATCTTGATCGTACTATACACAGGTTTATTCTTGTCATGATGATAAATTTATATTCGCGCACAATTTTTGTCTACCACAGTACTTATTGAACTTGAAGCTCACAATTGGGTTGGCTTTAAATAGTATACAGTTTATAGTTTAATAATTAAAAATAGATATGCTATAAGTGATATAAAACAAACTATTATCTAGTCTAATGGGTTTAGCATATTTGCAAAATTGTAATTGCAAATATGCTGACCCATTAGACTAGATAATAGTTTGTTTTATATCACTTATAGCATATCTATTTTTAATTATTAAACTATAAACTGTATACTATTTAAAGCCAACCCAATTGTGAGCTTCAAGTTCAATAAGTACTGTGGTAGACAAAATTAATAAACTCCCAGAAAGTAGCATGGTATATGAAAGGTACATCCCGACTGCTAGTTGCTCACACACTTTGAATATTATTGTGTCCTCTGGCTGGAATCGCCCCTGCGGCCCTGCAATCCTGGTGCAATTGCAGCATTCTAACCAACAAAACTGAGCTACAGAGTCCAGTTGTCAAGCTGGAATTCATGTGTGTATACTTGGGTACTGCTGTGTTAGTATCGCTAAATACCAAAATTGAAACCTATAACCTTTAAAACATATTAATATTTACTGATACATTGACAAGGCAGTAACCAGTATATATACTTGTGGTTAGAGCTCGACATTTGGACTCTGTACTGTAGCTCAGTTGTTTAGGACACTAGGCCTATATATTATTCTAAGAGATTCTGTTGGCATCCCACTCATTATAATAGTTGAAGGGTCTTGGACATGGAAATTGTCGAGTGGAAATTTATAGACACTTATTATTCCAAAACAAGGAACAGCTGTGAAAAAAAGCAACTGTAGGTCCCTGGCCGGAATTAGACCTGCGATTCCAGTGCAGCACTCTAACCACAGAGGCCAGTTGTCGAGCTCTCTTATGGGTTAGGGTCATGGCAGTACCTTTTTAGTATGATATATGTATATATAGTACCTTAATTAGTATATATGTAATATACAGTAATGCATGAACAGGCCTTAGTCCAGCACTGCAGCATGGCTGCAGGTTCAATTCCTGCCAGTGACCTATAGTTGCTTTTCTCACAGTTATTCCTGATTAGATCTAATAAATGTTTATAAAGTTCCACTCAATAATTTTGATGTAAAAGTCTAAGACCTCTCACATATCAATCTAACTAACTAATGATTAAACCTACCTTTTAATTTTCTTTTCCTACAGCTAATGATTTAGATTCAAAAATTCAATAGCAAGGATGAAAGTGGTTTTAATAGCAAACAACCAAGAATTGTTCATGTGACAAGAGCAGCAAATTGTAGCCAGTCTAACAGTAACTGTTTAACGTGCACAGTCTGTCGATCCTGGTGATCATGAGGATTTATCTCAAGTGGCAAAATTAATCTACAAATAGTTTTAGTCACAAAACACAGGAGTTTAAAGATTCCCAGTAAAGTGCTAAGTGTATTTATTATGCCACACACAGTGCATGGTAGTAACATAGAACTATCTTCATTTGAAGCTTTGTTTGGTAGCAGGGGCAAAACTACCCCCTTTTAATTCGGGGGTGTCTGCCAGAATTGCCCTGCCCAAACCGATGATGCCCTGCAGCAAATTTTCATTTCTGGCCACTGTTTCCCCCAAAATGCTGGCAAACAGAGGTGGGTGGGTGGGGAGGTGGTGGAAAATTTTTCTGGACCACCCCCTGAACACCCCCCCCAACTCAAGTTTCGCCCCTGTTTGGTAGGGATGCAACTACCTGAAAAATACAAGGACAATGTTTCGAGCGAAGGCCCTTCGTCGGGAAGTTTGTTGCGGGGTCTGGAAAATTACACGAGCTTTTATGATCATGTGACAAAAATTAAACCAATCAGATGCATTTAGTCATAACAAAGTATATACAAAAAATATTAATAACAATATAGAATATATTAATACAATTATACAGAAAACTACATATACATCTACAAATTAGCATATATCAACACTATGTTGTTATTATTTAAAGTTGCACCTCTCACTTTGTATAGATGTTCTTATTCTGGGTTAGATATATTATGCTAATTTGTATATAGTATTATTTTTACCTAACCATATCATAACCTATGTAAACCATTGTATTTCTTTAAAAAAAACAAGATATCAGTTGATGTCCACATCATTATATTTGTGTTGTATGCAATGATTTTTGCCTGCAGATTGATTGAGATAAGAAAATAAAAAGCTGAATGTGCAAATAATTACTTCTGGCAAAATGTATTGCTTTGAATCCCTTGTCTGTAGGTCAACAATAAATGCATGCAGTGCCAGTCAAATGGTCATGAAAGTGGACACCTTTTTCAAACAGATTTTTCTTCCCGTGTGAGTAAACCGTAGTACCCAGAGAAAACCTACAACACTTGGTTCAGGGTTGACTCATTTCAAAATTCCAACACCAATATTGCAAAGAGAAATTAGATTTTTAACTTTCACTTCACTAAAATATTTGAGTTGTTTCCTTTGCTATCTGGGTATTTATAGAAAACCAGTCATCAGAGAAACATACTCTGACATCATGAAATGGACAACTATTTGGCAATTCCCATTACTTGTTGGTCATTGCCACAGTAACAGTATAAATACATGTAATAATGGTACATACATGCTGATAATTGTGGAGACATAGGTAGAAATGATTTTGGTAGCAATGACCAGTTATGCATGGGCATTTTAAGAATTACCAATTATCTTAACAATGTTTTGATATGTTTGCAACAGCTGTGAAGAGTCATTGGGTATAAAGGGACCAAGGGTGACAATCCATCACAAAAAGGAAGGGATGGAGGCAGCCAATACACTATTTATCAGCTATTTAGCTCTTATAATAATTAATAATGTCATAATGTGAATGCTGAGAGAGTTTGAGAGAATACATCTTCACAACTGTTACAATATACCTGACTATACTTTAATGAATTATAATATTTCAGACATTACTAGCAAACATGCTGAGGAAATCCATTGACAAATGACATTCCACTCTCCAATCCATATATACACTGTAGTTGGAAAACTTTGCCCAAAGTAGCCAAGCACAACATCCTTGGACAACCCAGATAATCAAGCAAATAACTCCTTGACAAAGCGCATCAAAGTAAAATAAATAACAATAGCCTTCTTGACATCACAGTGAAAACAAAACGGTTCAACAAATCCGTACAAACCCCGAACATTTCCTACGATTATTGAAAACATGATAAACTGAGTAAATAAATATGGGTTTCTTATACTCGTTTTGCCCCCTATCCGCCGTCGAATTCCTGCCAGCCACAGCCGAGCTTCCCTTTGTAGTATTGGCGCTGGATTTATGGAATTAGTCATCTTCCGTGGCACATTTAATCCAGAGAATCATGAGCTTCGAGTAAAGTTTCAACTTGCTCGGCACATTCATCCACGAAAAACGCGACGTTTTGGCAGCTTTTCTCCCGAGTGCAGCTACCAAGGGCCTCCATTACTTTCTGAAAATAATCTACCGGCCGTTCGACGCAGTTGTCGTTCAAAATATCTTGATTTAAGACCTCGTCAAGACTAAAATTGCCATTTCGAACGGCCGCCATCTTGTCAAATTAATTATGCTTACGCAGCATTTTTTGAAGAATACCGCAGGTCATAATGAATGGCGAACTAGCGTTTTCGCATGCAAAAATGCCAGGCGTGAAATATCGAATTTACTCTTCAAAACTTGGAATTTACTTTTCAAACTTACAATTTTCTCTTCAAATATTAGAATTTACTCTTCGAAACATAGAATTTCTGTTCAAAACTTAGAATTTACTCTTCAAAATATCGAATTTACTCTTCAAATCTTGGAATTTACTCTTCAAGCTTAGAATTTTCTCTTCAAATCTTAGAATTTACTCTTCGAAACATAGAATTTACTCTTCAAAACTTAGAATTTACTCTTCAAAATATCGAATTCACTCTTCAAATCTTGGAATTTACTCTTCGAAACATATAATTTACTCTTCAAAACTTAGAATTTACTCTTCAAAATATCGAATTTACTCTTCAAATCTTGGAATTTACTGTTCAAACTTAGAATTTTCTCTTAAAATATTAGAATTTACTCTTCGAAACATATAATTTACTCTTCAAAACTTAGAATTTCCTCTTCAAAATATCGAATTAACTCTTCAAATCTTGGAATTTACTCTTCAAACTTAGAATTTTCTCT